TCATTGGTTTCAGCTTGCCCTAGTGACTACGCCTTCTGCTAGTTTGCCTGGTGATCTATCTATGCAAGCTTCTATAAGTCACCTGGTAGGGAGGAACATCAACAGAAACTTCTTTTGTCAGGAAGACACTGATCTAAAGTTATGCTGTACCCAGATCCTGAGGAGTGTTCCTGTTGGAGATACAGACCAAGGACATACAGAGAAACAGTTTCTAATTGCTAAATGACGCACGATCATCCTAATCTTTTAAGGTCAAACGAAAGCAACAGACAGATGGTATTTTTCCACTACACATCCTTGTGGACATAAACCCTCACTAAGACTCTGGTTAATAATGTGACAAACTGCAGGGGCTATCAAATCAGCAACCATTTTAAAGCGTTGCCCATCAAGGCCATCAACACCTGTTGGTTTATTTTTACAAGTTATTAGCATGTTTTCTACTTTACTTGTACTTACTTTGTCAAATTTAAATTTAAACATTTTTCCTCAATAATTTGATTTTTAATTAATAAACAAGATAATTCATTATCTATATTTTGCATGTTGTCAGGGAGGAGGTGGAAGGGAGGAGGTGGGTTTAAGTCTAAGGAAATTAAGTCTTAAATGAAGGTACAACAAGCATTCTTAATTTAAACATTTTTATTGAATCAACATGTTTGTTTTTCCTTCAGGCAGAATAAAAGTCATCTCCTTCCTCAGTCCCAATGATGACCAAAACAAAAAAATATACCGTCCACAATATCAGATTTCATTTACTACCAGTCTGATTCTGCACCTGTGCCATCAGCTCCCGTCCAATCACCTGTAGCTCAAAGAGAGAGAGACGTGACAAAGACAAAGCTCATAATATAAGAGCCACAGTCATAACATGCTTCATTAACTACACTGAGTCCAGTATTCAGGACAAGAACACTTTTATAATCATCAGAGACAGAGGAAGGATTCCTGCTCTCTATGAACAAACTTTAACTTGTGTCCTTTTTGAACTTTCTTAAATCCAGAAGTTCTCTAAGTGGTCTTATCCTCAAAATAAAGAAAACAATCTTGTTCCTCTGCTGAGATATGATAAACCATTGTTGTAGCTCCTTTCAGGTTAAATCTAGCTCGATGTTAACCAGAATATCTAATTAAGTCAAAGTTAGATATACTGTATTTTATTAATATAAGCTTTTCTAATACTAAACATACTTAACAACATGATATTCTTTTAAGTTATAGAATATGACTTGCAAGGTTATTTTCATGTGGGGGACACAGAAGAAGTCCTTTAACCAAACACCAATCCTGCCTCGTTCCACGTCGACAGCCTGGTCAACATCTGTTTTCAGTCCACAGTCTGTCCCTCACCTGCTCCTGTTTCCCAATAAACAGCCTGGCCTCGGCTTGTTCATGGTTCTCTTTCAGAGGTCCAGCCAGTCTCCTGTTCCTACAGATCACTCTCTCAGGTTGTCCTTCTGCCCCCCCTGGTGGCCACTGGTAGTATCTTCATGAACATCTGTCTGTAGCTAGCCTGAGTTCTTTCTCTCTGAAAATGCAGGTTGGACTTCTAACCTTTATTGTTCCTGGTGTCATCTTTCTGAGCTGTGTTTATGTTTGAGTCTTTTTCTGTTAACTTTGATTTCATCAGTCTGAAGAATTTGAGGACAGACACAGTGTTGTCTGTATTCTGAGTGAGATACTGTTCTAATAGAAACAGAGAGAGCTGTGGAGAACTTCAGCTCTGCCTCCTGATCACTGATTATCCATCTGCTAGTTTGAACTGGAACAATCTGATTAAAAATGATCTTTGTTCTAAAAGCTTTCATTAACCAGCTGTTTGTTTGTATCAGGATGAAGAGACAGAGACCAGACTCTCCTGGACCCAGCTGTGTGTCCATGAAGAGTGATTGGTGTATAATGTGTATCTTGGTTCAGAGCTTCATAATATATGACACATTGTTTTCTTGTGTCACAGAGTTCAACAGGAGAGCTCCGAGGTTCACAGAGATCAATCAGACCAGCAGAATCCAACAGACCTGGACTCCATCTTTATGGTCTGTTCAACACTCTGTTATTTAATTTACTATCATTACAATAATTTAATGCTAAGTTATTGTTCTGTTTAGACCAGCTGACCTTCAGACTGACAGATGAACACATGTTGAGTTCTACCAGTTTATATTAAATATCCAGTGTCTCCTTCTGTTCCAGCTGCTGGAGGAGAACATCGTCACCTTTGTGAAGAACGAGCTGAAGAGAGTCCAGAGAGTTCTGAGTCCAGATTACCCAGAATGCTTAGAGAGTCAGAGTGAGGATGAAGAGCAGGGAGAAGCTGTAGAGGATTTTTGAAGATCACTCTCCACTTCCTGAGGAGAATGAAGCAGGAGGAGCTGGCTGACTGTCTGCAGAGCAGTAAGAACATTTTAACAGATTTAGTATTTTAGAAAAAGGACAAAAGGTTTAAAGTTCCAAACTCAGATAGTCATGTGATCTATATCAGGATCTGTTCATGATTTCAGTTCTTTCTTTATTCAGGAACGTTTGGTGCAGTGCAATGTAAACTGAAATCTAACCTGAAGGAGAAGTTCCAGTGTGTGTTTGAGGGGATTGCTAAAGCAGGAAACCCAACCCTTCTGAACCAGATCTACACAGAGCTCTACATCACAGAGGGAGGGACTGGAGAGGTCAATGATGAACACGAGGTCAGACAGATTGAAACAGCATCCAGGAAACCAAACAGACCAGAAACAACCATCAGACAAGAAGACATCTTTAAAGCCTCACCTGGAAGAGATGAACCAATCAGAACAGTGATGACAAAGGGAGTGGCTGGCATCGGGAAAACAGTCTTAACACAGAAGTTCACTCTGGACTGGGCTGAAGACAAAGCCAACCAGGACATACAGTTCACATTTCCATTCACTTTCAGAGAGCTGAATGTGCTGAAAGAGAAAAAGTTCAGCTTGGTGGAACTTGTTCATCACTTCTTTCCTGAAACCAAAGAAGCAGGAATCTGCAGGTTTGAAGAGTTCCAGGTTGTGTTCATCTTTGACGGTCTGGATGAGTGTCGACTTCCTCTGGACTTTAAAAACAACCAGACCCTGACTGATGTCACAGAGTCCAGAGAGTCAGTGGATGTGCTGCTGACAAACCTCATCAGGGGGAAACTGCTTCCCTCTGCTCGCCTCTGGATAACCACACGACCTGCAGCAGCCAATCAGATCCCTCCTGAGTGTGTTGACAGGGTGACAGAGGTCAGAGGGTTCACTGATCCACAGAAGGAGGAGTACTTCAGGAAGAGATTCAGAGATGAGGAGCAGGCCAACAGAATCATCTCCCACATCAAGACATCCAGAAGCCTCCACATCATGTGCCACATCCCAGTCTTCTGCTGGATCACTGCTACAGTTCTGGAGGATGTGCTGAAGACCAGAGAGGGAGGAGAGCTGCCCAAGACCCTGACTGAGATGTACATCCACTTCCTGGTGGTTCAGTCCAAACTGAAGAACATCAAGTATGATGGAGGAGCTGAGACAGATCCACACTGGAGTCCAGAGAGCAGGAAGATGATTGAGTCTCTGGGAAAACTGGCTTTTGAACAGTTGCAGAAAGGAAACCTGATCTTCTATGACTCAGACCTGACAGAGTGTGGCATCGATATCAGAGCAGCCTCAGTGTACTCAGGAGTGTTCACACAGATCTTTAAAGAGGAGAGAGGACTGTACCAGGACAAGGTGTTCTGCTTCATCCATCTGAGTGTTCAGGAGTTTCTGGCTGCTCTTCATGTCCATCTGACCTTCATCAACTCTGGAGTCAATCTGATGTCAGAAGAACAAACAATCCAGGTCTGATATCAAGAAAATGACCCAAACATCTCAGAGTGCTGTGGACCAGGCCTTACAGAGTCCAAATGGACACCTGGACTTGTTCTCCGCTTCCTCCTCGGTCTTTCTCTAGAGACCAATCAGAATCACCTACGAGGTTGTTGACACCCACAGGAAGTGGCTCACAGACCAATCAGAAAACTGTCGAGTACATCAAGAAGAAGATCAGTGAGGATCTGTCTGCAGAGAAAAGCATCAATCTGTTCCACTGTCTGAATGAACTGAATGATCGTTCTCTAGTGGAGGAGATCCAACAGTCCCTGAGATCAGGACGTCTCTCCACAGATAAACTGTCTCCTGCTCAGTGGTCAGCTCTGGTCTTCATCTTACTGTCATCAGAAAAAGATCTGGACGTGTTTGACCTGAAGAAATACTCTGCTTCAGAGGAGGCTCTTCTGAGGCTGCTGCCTGTGATCAAAGCTTCAAACAAAGCTCTGTATGTGTCCACATAACTATCCAGGTTTAATGTAGTTCTCTTTATTCAGAAATAACAACTATTGTTTTTAATTGCTTTCATTTGTGTTCTTCTGAATCCTCTTCAGGCTGAGTGTCTGTAACCTCTCAGAGAGAAGCTGTGAAGCTCTGTCCTCAGTCCTCAGCTCCCAGTCCTCTAGTCTGAGAGAGCTGGACCTGAGCAACAACAACCTGCAGGATTCAGGAGTGAAGCTGCTGTCCTCTGGATTAAAGAGTCCTCTCTGTAGACTGGACACTCTCAGGTTAGTGTGCAGCTGATCCAGATTATTCCTCTAAGATCATTTTCTTGATGAATCATTTATCAAATGTTCCTTTAATGAGTGGTTTAAAGTTTTAGTTACTGTATGTTACCACATTAAAGCTGTAAAGCTCTGAGCTCGTTCTATAGCTCCCAGTCTTTTAGTCTGAGGAAGCTGGACTGGAAGATCTGTTAAGTCCTTTTTATGATCCTGTGTGTGTGTGTGTGTGTGTGTGTGTGTGTGTGTGTGTGTGTGTGTGTGTGTGTGTGTGTGTGTGTGTGTGTGTGTGTGTAGTCTGTCAGGTTGTCTGATCACAGAAGAAGGTTGTGCGTCTCTGGCCTCAGCTCTAAGCTCCTCCCACCTGAGAGAGCTGGACCTGAGCTACAATCATCCAGGAGAACGAGGAGAGAAGCTGCTGGCTGCTGGACTGGAGGATCCACACTGCAGACTGGAGACACTGAGGTACAGACAGACTAGAGGTCGCGTTAACCGAATATTCTCCGTCTTTGACGGAATTTTTTGAACAATGACGAAAAAAATCTGAAGGTTTTGACTGATTAGAATCACTGGGTGTCCACCACTCCTTTCTAATTCTCACACAACTCTGTCATTAACCACATGTAAAGCACCTGCAGTAGACCTCCCAGTCCAGTTGGTGGCGAGTGTGCATAATTAATTAGTTATTGTCTTGTCCTGTAGGCTGACCTCACTTGCATGACTTCGTTGTCTATGGTTGTTTTCATAGCATGGTTAAGCTATCTGCATGATGGTCACAAACTGTTGAAACAACAGTGTACTGAGTTCTTTGAAAAAGTGATTTTGCTGGTGATGATGGTAGACGTGGTGAAAAAAGAGGGACTGATGCGGTGGAGGAGGCTGAAGAATAAGCACCTACAACTGATGAAGATAATCAGCAGGTAGCAGCTAAAGCTACGGGACAAGCAAGTTGCAGCAATGTGGGAGCAAGGAGGGATTACCGTGTTCAATGGGAGCAAGAATTCCCGTGGCTTCAGAGCAAAGATGACAAAATGTTCTGTGACGTCTGCAGAAAAGCTAACATGAGTAACAGATTTACCAGACGGTGCAAAACTATGAAGAACTCTGCGCTGAATGATCACAAAACCAGCCGAAGCCACATTATGGCTTCCAGGGTGGTTAGCCAGAGTGCTGCAATTGAAAAGCATGTTGCACACAACTGTGTCAGAATGACAGTCCCTACCTCGTAAATATTCACTGTGGTGCACACCGAACTGCACTGGCTGCCCGCATGCCTCCAGGGTAGTGCGTCAAATCAGTACTTTACCGTAAAATCCAGAATATAAGTCAGACCGGTATATAAGACACACCCTGTTTTTAAGGTCTCTTTGAGAGAAATAAAAACTTTAAACTGTTTTCCTGCGTGACGACTTATATTGTGTTCAGCGATTTCTACAACGTGCATTTTCTGTACAGCTGTGTCGCTCTTAAAGTCCCGTCTTTTTCACCTTCGGGAGTTTGCGCTCCTACTAGCTACAGTACGGTAGTTGAGCTCTCAGCCTGCAGGGAAAGTTGTGAGGCAGAGGCACAGACTCCTAGCTTGCAAGTCGCGCTGCCCGACTCCTCTGGTCACTCTTTAACTTTAATATAGGAGTCTTTCAATCAAAAGAGAACTCCACAAGGTCTATTTACTGGAACAATATACCACTGTTTATGTAAATGCATGATTATGACCTTGTGAGGAAGAAAAGATGTGAAAAAAAGTCACGCAGCCACGCTGGTCTGTGTCGCCGTCTTTTCCAGCACAGCGTGCAACCAGCTTTCAATACACAATGAATGGGGAAGGGTTTTTGATCGCACCAGGTCGCAGTAGTGGCAGCTGCACCTGCGGTAATGACGGCGCGTGTTTCAGTATTTTATACTGGTGTATAAGACGCAGCCAACTTTTAAGACGAAAAAATAGGTATTAAAAGTGCGTCTTATACACCGGATTTTACGGTATGTGACCACTATCAATAACATCTACACCTACTACAAGAATTCTCCCATCCAAACACACAGACTATACAAACTCCAAAATGAAATGGAGGAAAATTATCTGCTGAGCCTAAAGCAACCATCAGCAATTTGCAGGTTGTCCCTGGAGAGGGCAGTTAAGGTGCTGGAGTTGGAGGAGGAGGAAGCTACAAAAAACTGCCCGGTAGAGAAAGGTTTAAGAAAATGCATCCTGACGTACACGTTCCCTGCATTGACCCACTTGCCAACGATGTCTTGGCTGTGGTGAACCGCATGAACCTCACTTTCCAAAAGGAAGATATGAACATTTCCTCTATCCAACCTGTCCTCAACATGACCCTTGTAATCTAAAAGACTTGATGAATGAGCCAGGTAAGCAGTGTTAGAATGTAAGCACATAAGCTAGTACTTCAGTACAAATTTAAGGCATCCAGTCACACTTGATTTGTTCTTTATTCTTCATATACCCCTCAGAGAATAATATTATATTTTTACAACATTAAAACTGTCTGACAGCTTTATAGTCTAACTTTTTAAATTTACAGCCTTCATAAAAAGCCTCGTTAAAACACGTTATTCCAGCATTTTATTTTTCACGAGATGAAAGGTAAAGTCTTCCTTTATAAGTCAAAGTCTTATCTTAGAATTATAAATAAATCATTCTTGAAACCATAGGCTGGAACAAAATCTAAAAGCAAAAAAAAACTTAATCTGAGTTTTTTTTTAGAGAAATGCTTTGTATTTGTCACGGGTAAGGGATCCGACTGTCACGATGGTTTTATAGAATATAATACACTGCTGATGAACAAACTAACAACAAAAGCAGTTCATATTTACATTATATCAAACATGTAAGCTCCCACAGAAAAACAACAGACAACATGAATGCAACTGCAGTATTAATATTAGAATTCCAAACTCTGAAGTAGCGCTGGTTATTTCAGTGTCCAGTGTGGCAGCAGAGTGAAAGTCTAGCGAGAGACAGACAGATACAGAAGCTGTCTCACTGTTTCTGAATGATGAACTAATGGTGGATTTAAATCTAGATGTATGAAGTAGATTCTGATCTGGTTTCTTCCTCCAGGTTGGACCATGGTGGACTGCACAGACTGGATCCTGGTCGAGGAAGTGTGAGTGTGTTTTCATTTCTCTTCATCAGAACACAGCAGCACATGTTGGATGAGGGCTGGAAGTAACACAAAGTGATGATAAAAGTGAGGGTGATGGAAACTCATGAGAGTTGAAATAGTAAACAATAAAAAATATAAACTGAAATAAAAGTGATAATCCAGAAATGTATAATGTTCCAGTTTAATGGAAGTCACAAAACGTGTGTGCTCTAAACGATACATTTCTGTTGGATGTGATGAATGGTGATTATCTTATCACTGGATAATCACTTTGAATTTCAATCACAATCACTTCAACACTTCAGATATGGACAGACACACAAACATTTAGACTGCTTCATATTTCACATCACAAGTTTTCATCTCCTCCTTTCTTATCATCACTCTCTGTGACTTTTTACTCTTTTGGCTCTTTACAGTCCAACAAAAAACAGAGTAAAGTTCTCTGTTAACTGTGCTGAAGAGAAGTGCAGCTAAAACGACGACACTACGAACCTGTTCCCCCATTGGAAACAATATGATCCATTAAAACACACAGAAGGAAATAAATGTCCAAATGTCATAAACGAGTGTTAGTGTGGAGCGTATTGTAGATAATATAAACTGTCTATGCATGGTGTGGACCCCAGCGGGCCAGTGAGTGTGACTCCACAGCAACAAACTGTCATATCAGTGTTTCAGCTCCGTGCTCTGAGCTTATGATGCTGAAATGTTTCTGTTTCATTATAATTCTTCATGTTCTGATAATAAAGTATAATTAAACCATCATTAACCATCTGGTTTCTTCAACTTTCACTCAGGAACAAAAATCAGCTTTTAAATTTGAAAGAAATAATTATTGACAATTATCGTGATAATTATCGATATCGACTGATATGACATTTTTTTCTTTTTCGCCCAGGCCTACTCTCAGTAAGTGTCAGTAAAGTTGTTGATGAATGAACAGATGATAACCTGCAGCTGTGTTGTTGTTCTCTCCATCAGACGCCTGTGAGCTGGAACTGGACACAAACACAGTGAACAGAGAACTGAAACTGTCTGACAACAACAGGAAGGTGACACATGTGGAGGAGCTTCAGTCATATCCTGATCATCCAGACAGATTTGAAAACTATCCTCAGCTGCTGTGTAGGACTGGTCTGACTGGTCGCTGTTACTGGGAGGTCGAGTGGAGAGGAGAGGTTGATGTATCAGTGAGTTACAGAGGAATAGAAAGAAGGAAACAGTGTGAATGTGTGTTTGGATTAATGATCAGTCCTGGAGTCTGTTGCTCTGATAAGGTTACTCTGTCTGTCACAATAACAGAAGAACAAAGATCTCCTCCTCCTCCTCCTCTGTCTCTCACAGAGTAGCAGTGTATGTGGACTGTCCTGCTGGCTCTCTGTCCTTCTACAGAGTCTCCTCTGACACACTGATCCACCTCCACACCTTCAACACCACATTCACTGAACCTCTCTATCCTGGGTTTAGGATCAGGTCTCATGGTTCTTCAGTGTCTCTGTGTCAGTCTGAGAAACTCTGCTGACTGAAGATCAGCTGACTCTGTTCTCTCTGTTTCAAACTAATGAATTATTCTGATTTCATCACTTAGATTGTAAATGTTTTATCACTCTTACCTGCAATCCTCAGTGATATGAAAAATCATAAAGAATAAAATACTTTAGTTCATTTGTTTTTCTTTTATATTTGAATGATACTGTAACACCATGTTGAGATTAAACAAGATCTTTCTGAGGTACAAGAGAATCCTGGACTCAGAATCAGCTTTATTTGCGAGGTATGTTCACAGATACGAGGAATGTGACTTTGATAGACTGTGTTTTATGTAGAAAAGTAATACATGAAATATTATAAAATCAATGAAAACATTAAATGAACAAGCCTACATGAGACAATAGTGCTGGTGTGTGACGTGCAAAGATGCTAATTCACATGATAATAAATGATGTTATTGTGTAACAGATGGATTAATTTACATGAGGTATTGACCCAACACGACCTCATTATGTATTGATCATGTCAATAGTGAAATGTACACCCCTGTCTCTGCCCCTGCAGTGTGTGGGTGTGTATCTGTGTCAGTAGTGTGTCTAGGTTAATCAGGTGGTGATGGATGCTGCTGCTGAGTGGAGGTAGAAAAGAGAATTGCCATGACGGTAGTCAAATGCTGACACTGAAGCTTTTAAAATCTCAGCTGCTGCAGCCTGCTCGCTCCTTCTCCGGCCACTTCAAACAAAGCCAGCTTGACATTTGAAGATTATAAAGATAGTACATTTTTAAGATTGATTAGCGTGTGTACATAGCTAAATAGAGAGTTGTTTTGTAAATATAAGTAGTATGTAAATTTAAACAATGTAAGAAATTGTGCACCACACAGAAGTGATTTTCACAAATGTCATTTTGTTTGCTTTATTTTGATGTAAAGAAAGATTAGGGTTGTTGCTACCCACCTTTTGCTTGTTATTTTCTGCTCTGAAGAAAATAAACTGCTGTTGGAAGTTGACTTGGGCTGCTGGATTTCTTGGGAGTGGGAAGAGTGGGTGAAGGGGAGTTTCTCCTGATGTCCAAAAAAAGGAAAAGCTGAAGTAGAAGCTGTTCAGGTCTTCAGCCAGTCTATTGCTACCTACAGGTTGGGAGGAGGGTCTAATGTAGTTGATGTCCTGCAGGCCTCTCCAAACTGACGCAGGGTCGTCTGAGAAGCTGTGTTTTAGCTCTTATTAGCTGCTCTGATCTGTTTTGTCAGCTGGTTTTTGGCCTGCTTGTACAGATACTGGTCCCCACTCCTAAAGGCCTCCTCCTTCACCTGACACAGCTGCTTTAGATGTGGTGAAAACCCAGGTTGTAAGCCAGACCCTATGACCTAGAGTCCAGCTCTGCGTCCACCACAGAGCCAGCCTTCCTCACCAGTCTGTCCAGCTGTGCTGCGTCCTCTTCTTGCTGCTTCCTCCCCAGCACACCACAGCATAGAAGAGGACGCTGGCCACCACGGACTGGTAAAACATCTGCAGCAGCTTCTTACAGATGTTGAAGGACCCCAGCCTTCTCAGGAAGTACAGACGGCTCTGTCCTTCCTGCAGATAGTGTCCATGTTTGATGACCAGTCCAGCCTGTCGTCCAACTGCAGCCCAGGTACCCGTAGGTCTTGACCACCTCCACGTCGACCTCCCCGATGGAAACAGGTTGTAGATGTGGCTTGTTCCTTCGATTATATATCCCATCTAGCTTTGGAACGCCTCGGAATGCCCCAGGAGGAGAGATGTAGTCTGGGTTGGTGCTGCCGGGGATTAGCATGCCCAGGCATCCAGCTGGGCTTGTATTTAATTCTTGAGGAGTGTTGGGGGTTGATGGTTGGAGCCAAGGAGAACCACTCTTGAGGGATTGAAAGAGCCTCTTCGGCTTCAATATTCCATGCATATCTTTTCCTGGGCAAATGAGAGCATTGAGAAGAGCTGCAGCAGAACTATAGTTCCTAATAAAATGTCAATAGAAGTTAGCAAACCCTGGACTCTTTTCTCCACCTTGACAAATTGTTGATTCTCCAGCAACCATTGTAACACGTGCTCTTCCCTGGCTGGAGAAGATCAAAATTCATCAAGGTAGACAAAAACAACCTTGTTCAACATGTCTTTTAGAACAGTGGTTCTCAACTCATGGGTCGGGACCCAAAAGTGGGTCGCTTAGCCGTTTTCAGAGGGTCGCGAAGGTGTGCCTGGGGAAAAAAGTGTCAAAAAATCTATGAAGCACTTTTAAAACATGTTTGTTTTGTTTTCCTCTCTTTGTTCTGTCTCATGTTTTGAACTGTCTGAGGTCCAAACTGCACCTTTTTTCATTAACAGATCTAAATGGTTGAAAAATATCAGAAGTTTGGGTGGGACTTTCTCATTAAGGAGTTGGTGATGAGTCCTGAGGCTAAACCAGTTGAGAACCAGTACCTCAGAATGTCATTCTCCAGGGCCTGAAAAAAAAACTGCTGGGGCATTAGTGAAATGACATGACCTGATATTCTTAGTGGCCACGAGGTGTGTTCAAGGCGGTTTTTCATTCATCCCATTCAGCTTCAGGACCCACCACCAACTCCTTAAAGAGAAATTGCGATCCAAATTTTAATTTATTTTGTACAAACCAAATTTATTTAAAGAGTCCATATTCTGCCCTTTTTGGGGTTCATATATTTAATCTATGTATCTACTAAAGTATGTTCACAATAGATAAAGTTCTAACAAAGTGTCTGTTTTCATGAACTGCCGCTCCATGCACCGGCTCTCTTCTGACTCTCTCTCTAAGGCTCTGAAGTGCCCACGTTCAGAGTCCCACGTGTGCCCAGTCTGATCTGATTGGTCGGCCTGTCGGCTCTGTCGTGATTGGTCAGTCGCTCAGTACGGTTCTCGAAATGTCCCCCCTTTTACCATATTGGGAATGCAGCTACTGGCTCCGAGGGGGAGCAAAAACACCGGTATGCAAACGGCAATGGCAACTTCACCAATCTGACAGAGAGGAGGAACAAACACAACAACCTTTGCCACGAAGGCATGAGCACGACGTTTCAGTGTTGGAGGTATTTATTTTGCAGCATACGTTAGCCTCTTCCAATTTCACTGACTGGAGCTACCAGCATATTTCCCTAATCCAAAATATATATCTTACTCGTGGCTTCACAAAGTTTGGCTTTATTACAATATGATTATTGGCCACAAATGTGTTCTGTACAATACATGTTATTGTATTTACATTAGTACTGTATGTTGTTTATTGCAGCGACTCACCTTG